ATGAGTATTAATGAACATGTAGATGCACCCAGTATCTTTTAAAATTAAGGCATCTCAGTGTTGGACAATTAAGAAATGAAGTATATAGCAATGGTATTTCTGCTAAGAACCAGATTTGGCCCACTGCAATTTATAGCACAATGAAAATACTTGTAGGCTCATACCAGCCTGACCTTGCAGGTCATTCATAGAATCATAGAAAGTTAGGGTTGGAGGTCATCTAGCCAACCCCTGCTCAGGTCATCTAGTCCAACCCCCTGCTCAAAGCAGAACCATTCCCAACTAGATTATTTCTGGCCAGAGGTTTGTTGAAGCCAGCCTTAAAAACCTCCAAGGATGGAGATTCCACCACCTCTCTAGGTAACCCATTCCAGTGCTTCACCACCCTCCTAGTGAAAACATTTTTTCTAATATCCAACCTAAATTTCCCATTCACAGAGTAATGGCTGCAACAGTAGTCCCTAGATGCAAGTTTATTCCATATACTCTCTCTCCACAACCACGCACACACACACACATGCATGTGTATAAAACATATACCCACACAGTCTACTGAAATTGATGTCAGTAATTTAAGAAGGAGAATTTGTAAGAAGTATACTCTTCTGTTCAACACAGTGTTATAAAGAAATCGTGTCAGCTGCCTTTTGCTGTGCTGCCAATGTGGTTTAGGAATTTGCTCCCTTACAGCCCAGCTTCTTCTTGATTGTGCAGAGACATTTAACATAAGTGTTGCCATGGGAATAGTGAGGTCATACATTTAGCAGTACAACTTCACTAAAAAGAATCAAGTTGGAAGAGAAGCTGAGCTGAGGGAGGAAGCCTATGTCAGAATAGAAATAGCGTTGGTAATTAGCAAACATAGTAAGAGGTATTATGGAAGACACGGGAGTGTAAGCAGATTTATGTTTACATATGACATTTTAACCTCCCACTCTTATGAAAGGCCCTCTTCATGAAAATCTGCCATTCCTCTCTGATTTTACCAAAATTCTCTAGGGCTGAAGAGGGGTTTGCTGCACTGAAAAATGATTTGGAAAAAAAAATACTTGTGTTGTGCCTTTTTAGGGAACTATATTAAAAGATCAAGGAGGAAAATACAGATAAGCAAGGCCATGGGTCTTTAAGTAAATTATAGTACCCAAATAAGTTTGTAATAACACTGTAAATGGTATTTGTGATCTGAGGTTAATGTGAAAAAATGATAGCAAATAAAATGTAAGTAATCTTCATGTCAAACTTAGCTCAGGCTGTTTTCTCTTTCCTGTCCTTTCTTCAAACATAACCTTATCTGCCTGGTAAGGTTCTTTCTGGAGTCGAGTATATTCCTTGGTCATAGTTATGACTACTTAAAAAGGAGGTCTTATGTCAAACTGCAGAAACAATCCTCATCTTCTGTGTTGTTATAAGAGGAACTCTAAGGCAGTCTGGAGAAGTGTTCCCTCTAAGCTATGTGGCATGCGCGGCCGCGCAGACATGCCTGGCAGCGCAGCATGAGCGCGATTGTGCGGCCACGCATGCCACACAGCTTAGAGGGAACGCTGGTCTAGACATTAGGAAACTGCTTTCTTTTGTCAAATTATCATTAATACAATGGTTTTGAAGCCTTTCCTTCAAACTCTCAACTTCTGTCTGTGTCTCTGCTACTTCACTGCAGATATGACAGGGTTTTCTCTGATAAAAAAATCCGCAATTTTTGGATTAAAAAAAGTAACCCCAAATCCACATTGTTCCATGATTAAAATGAAACACCACTAATATATATATCTATACATAGTGGTGTTTCATTTTGATCACAGAAAAATGTAGATTTGGGGTTACTTTTTTAATCTGAAAATTGGGGATTTTTTTTATCAGACAAAACCAGGACCCCTGGATATGACACAGGTTGTCAGTTCTGTAAGGGTCCTTCTGAGCCATCATTTTGTTTTGAGGAGCCAATCTACTTGCTTTTAAGAGCATGCTGTTTCATTAGAGTGCCTCTGCTCTGTAGAATGACAAAGGGCACCAAGGACTGATTAAACACAACTCAAAGTACTTCATACTAATTCTAGTCTATCCATTTTCCAAATGAAATTAGAAGCATGGCAAAAAGTGTAGTAACAATGTCTACAGATAGGCCTAGTTCATGTTAGAAGGGGGTGTGTTGTTTTGTTTTGTTACACACAATTCTCCCTACCATAACTAAGCTTGGGAATGTTTAACTGCTGGTAGCAATAGCAATGCTAGTGTAGACAATGATCCTCAGCTCAGTGTTTCCCAGCCTTTTTCGCCCCACGGCCCACTTACCTAAATAAAAAAGCACCGCAGTACACTGGACATGGAGCAAGTAGGAGGAGGGTGGCACGCAACCATCCAGACACTGATGGGGGGGCATGGCGCGCAGCCAGCTGGACGCTGACAGGGAGGAGTGGTGCACAGCCAGCTGGATGGCATTTTGGGCTGGAGTCATGCCCCCTGCCTGGCTGGAGCCATGCTCCCCATCTGTCTGTGTCTGCAGAAGCAGCGGGGCGGGGCATGGTTCCAGCCAGGCAGGGGGCGTGGCTCCAGCCCAAAATGCCACAGCACACCTGGACGCGTCTGACGGCACACCAGTGTGCCACAACACACCGGTTGGGAAACACTGCTGTAGCTAGCAGTGTTTTAATGTCATATGTTAGATTTTGTCAGAGCACAGTTAGATGAGATTGTGTTGGAAATGCTGGAAATTCCTGAAGCCTTACCTACATTCAGATTCCCACCACTGCAACTGATGGTAGACACAGGGCGCATCTACACGTACACATTTACAGTACAGTAAGCAAAATTTCTGCACAGTACAGGCATGTGTCTAAACGTGCATGGCCATACTGCGTAGTAAACATGGCATCTTATGCCAGCTTGAGCGTAAATGTGATACTTGAATCGTGCAGGTATTAATTTTATGCTTAATTAGTTACTGCACAGTAATGCAGGTGTAAATGCCTTAATGCGCAGTAACATTGTGTGTGGACTGACTTAGGACTAACTTTAGTCCCAAGTCAGTCCATACACAATGCTAATGAACTTTAATGCCTGAATGTGTAGATGCCAGCCTGTTCCCACTTACTAATTTACTGCACAGTAAATTTAAGCCAACATAAATGCACATGTAGACATGCCCACAGGTTCACAAAACAAACTTCAGCAGCCTTAGTGAGTGAAAAAAATACAGTATATGAAAGTCAAATATGATTATTTAATACTGAATCATATAAAATTACCAAAAATAATTGCATATGTATTGTTAGGGTGTCCATCCTTTAACTGATTAAAAGAAAAAGTCCTGGTGATATAAAAAAATACCTTAAATTACAATTGCACAATTTAAGAGTTAAATCAAAACAAAACTATATAGGAAGCTACCTTACCGACAAACTAATGATGCACAGCACAAGTGAAAAAAAGTGTTACTATTATAAATCATTGGAAATAAAAAACTTAAAATTAGTTTTACAAAACTCATCTAAACATTCTGCAGAAAAAAAAATTAAATAAGAATTTTCAAACATATATTGCAAATTAAAATAGTGATCCCATGGCTTTCAGCTAGGAAAGCCAGTTCTTTCAGCCCTACCTCCTAGTCATTTTGCTCTACTATTAATTTTGGCATACTAATGATTTAGTGCCCTCTTCCCGATAAACTAGAAAATCTGATCAAAACCATAGCACCAACAAACCCTGCTGACCTTTCCTGCTCAGTTTCCCATTTTTTGATTGCTCTCAACTTCCTATCATTTGTTTGAATGTGGTGTGTAAACTAACAGTAATAACTGAGTAGACTTAACCCACTTTGTGCACTGTGTAACTCATGCTTTACTTCAAACTGAGCCTCAATGTAAATTATCTTTAAAATGGCAACCTCCAAAGGCAGCAAACAGCCCACTGGAAGGAGAGGCTGACATGGTTTCAAGTACCTCTATAAATTCCATTGTGAAAATTCTTTTAGCTCCTTCTTATTTAGGAAATATTTAGCTATTTGAGGCATGATGAAGTCACCTGGAGTTTTCCTGTTTTCCTTTTTTAGGATGGATTTGAGAGCTTTTGTTTCCTTAAAAAAAAAAGAGAAAAAGAGAACAGAGTGCCTCAGTCTTCTACCAACCAACTGAGACTTTTTTTCCCAATTTTTGGCCAGATTCTGAACTTTTCCACCCCACTTTGATTCTTGTGAAAAGTCTCTTTGACTTTTCTTATAGTATGGCAAGATTCTCCCCAGAGAACAGTCAATGTTAATAGAATCCATAAAGAAAAAAAAAGGACTTTGTCCTTTTCTGATTCTTTCATGAGAACTAACAATTAGTGAGAACTAACAATAAATGTCTGGACCACAGAAGACCAGACTAGACATTCTTGCTATGTCTAAAGAAAAACTAAAAAGAAAACTATTCTTTTTACAGTAAAGAACTCCTGAGAGACTTTCCTTCCATCATTAAATATGGCCAAAAGAAAAGAGCACAACAAAGCTATAAAAAGTCCTGTAGAGGTCACCTTTAATAAGTCACTCGATGAAAGAGGAGTTGGGTCCAGGGGTGCTTAGAGAAGACCTCAGAAGTAAATGAATTAAGGATTTTTGTGGGTGTGGGGAAAATATGAAAGCTGTCTAAATGCTGCTGAATCTCCCCTGCCTTTTACAGCACAGAGACCTTTGTTTCTAAAGAAATGTACATTTCTTTTAGATGACAGAAACTACGGTTGTCCCATCTAGACTGCTGAAGAGATCTATGTCTCTAGTATGAGGACAGCGGGGGAAGAAAATAGCTATTGCTGGCTGGGTGGGAGGGTGGATAAGGAGTTCTCAGTTTAGAAGGTAGAAGTAAAGGCTATTTTTACCTGTCACACCTGGCAACTCCTCTCCTAAGGATTAAGCTGGGCTGCCAGATGAACCAGGCTCTGCAGTGCATGCAGATGTGCTGCCAGAGACACTGGACACAGCAGTCACTGGGGCCATGGGGGAAAGGGTGGAGGAACAGAGGGGCACTCACTCTCTGAGTCGCTGATGCCGCTGCTGTCGCTGACACTGGCGCTGCTCCGCCGCTTCATGCGCGCCAGGTGCTCCTCGTACTGGAAGTGGCGCTTGTCAATGGGCGAGGAGAAATCCTCAAGGACAGCATTGAACTCACCCAGTGCATCGGCCAGGTCTCCAGCATCCTCCAGCAGTGCTGTGGGGAGAGCCCCGGCCAAGCTGAGCACACGGGATGAAGCCAGCAAGGCGCACTAAACACATCCCTGAGCTGCACAGAGCCCTGAGGTGGGATGGGGAGGGTCCAAAACTACCCCATGATCCCCGCTGGGAGGGGACCGGGCCCCCCCCACCAGCCACATCCCTCCAGCTGCACAGAGGAGGGGAGATGGGGACTTGGGACAGGGCAGGGTGAGCTGCTATCGCCACAGGGAGGAGGCAGAGGGACATGTACACATGAGGAGTGGATCTCAACGGAGCAGGGGGCACACATGTGCACACACGTGCACATACACACCCAGATACATGCACGCACACACAGATGCACAAATACACACACACACAGATGCACATGTGCACACATGCACACACGTGCACACATACACTGACAGATTTACATGTACACACAGAAACGCCCACAGATCCACATGCATGCACATGCAGGTGCACAGATACATACGCCCACGTGCCAACGCACCTACACATACATATGCCCACAAGCAGACATGTGCACACTCAAATGCACACCCACACAGATACCTGCACATAGAGAAATACACGTGTACATGCAGATATGTGGATGTGTAAGTCCATGCGCACGGACACATATATATACACAAGTGTACACACAGACACTTGCACGCACAGATATACACGTACGTTCACAGGTGCACACGCACACACAGGTATAGACGCACACAATCCCCCCGTCCCGGTGCACACGCGCACACAGACCCACGCACACGCGCTGCCCCAGCACCCACCTGTGCCCGCCAGGCGCCTCGGCTGCGGCGGCGGCTTCATGCC